GCATTGCTTCAGCTGCTTACACCATTGTGCAGATGTCTCTAATCTGCCTGCCTGGTCCCTCTTTTGGCTTGAGACAGGAGAGGAGAAACTAAAGGCAAGTTCTTTGGCGACCTTCTCTAAATACCTTACAGAGCCAGTTCCTGCCTCCAACAGCCTCCCTGTGGTCCCATGCAACAAGCCACAGGATGTTTTGGCCTGTGATGTCTGCCAGCTGCTCTTCTGAGACCAGGGGCAGGGAGCCCAGTGGCACAGGGATGGGGTGCGCAAATAACAGAGATAGAAAGAGCATTGCCAAACCCAGTGTGCACAAATAACCAGTGCATGCTGAGGGCAGCTTAAATCTCCCTTTGGGTGTAAGCTGTAGGTCAGGAGGAGCCCGGAAGGGTGAAATGCTGGGCACCGGGTGTCTTCAGGCCTTCTCATCAGCTGCACCAACCGTACCGAGGTGGTTCAGACAGTTTGCTGCAATGCTCACAGCTACTTTCCCCTCACCTGGGTCCTTCCTTGTCCTGCTCCTCATGGCTTTTCCCAACTTGTTCTGTTCCTTGGAGCTTGACTTTTTGCTTCCTTGACTGAGCTCTTTTATCTGGGATAGGACTCAGGTGGCCCCATGCCTTGCCAACTGGCTCTGGGCATCTTTTCTACCAGGCCTACACATTTGCCCTTCAAGAGGCTAGGAAGTGCTGGTGGTGCAGGGCCCCTCTGGCCCTTAAAGGCTTTAGCCATCCTACTACACATGGGGTGCAGGGAAGCAATGGTGGTACAACACAAGGCAGCCAGTGGCCTTGGTCCCAGAGGGCACCCATTTGGAGACAGGGGCACCCTTGGGAGAGTCTCAGAAGAGAGAGGATGCATGTCAGCCTGTTGATGGGGAGACCCTCAGTTATTCAGTATCCTGGTGGAAAAGGGCCTGGCCCACTAAAGATTTTTCTTTTAATAACTACTAGTTGTTTCACAGCCACTCCAGAGCTAGCTCTGATCCTTTTTTTTTTTTCTCTCATAGCTGTGCAGGGTTTGTTTTTTTTTTCAAAACCCAGCACTTGACAGCCAAGTCGAAAACACTGACAGATTTCCATCCGAGGTGGATTGCATACACTTCTTCAGGAAAAAATAAACCCTACAGATGTCGTGCCCTGTGAATTTTTTTTTTAATGCTGAATGCAAAATGCCACCTTCAAGCGGGACAAGATGGCAGTCCCTCTCTCTCTCATCCCTTGTGTGTCCTCCTTTTCGCTGGCTTTTGCGACCGCTGCGGTAACCTGATACGAGGTTTTCTCTGCCATGTCCACGCTGATGCCTATGTCTTTCATATCAGTAACAGCTTCATTAGGTGACGCTCAGCATCATGTGCGCGTAATTGAAACAATTCCTTCCTGTGCTTGTTATCGTTCATAAATTGGTTTGCCCTGCACAGTTAGGGCTGGCCAGCTTCCAAGGTATTCACGTACTATGGAGGCCTCGTGAAGGTCCCTGACCCAGAAGCTCACTAGGAGCCCAGCCGACAGTCTCTGTCTGTGCAGGAGTCTCCATAATTGGCTTTATTTGCAGCCCAGAGGTTCAAGCATTGTGCTGCTGGCTTTTTTCATGGCAAGCATCTCAAATTTGGCGTCCCCACGGAGGAGCCATGCATGCTCTGAGGTTTAAAGCAGCATTACTTGAGCAGCTTACCCATTGTGTCAGGCACTGCCCAGACCGTCTCCGTGATGGTTCAGACAAGGACAGAGATAACACCGCCTGGTTCCTGACTTCAGTGCTAGGGAGTATCTGAGCAGGCCATCTAGGGAGGGAGGTCTCCTATCTGTGACCTTGAGGAAGAGAGCAGGGAGGCCTGGAAGTTTGGTAGCTTCAATTCACACTAAATGAGCGGCCCCAACCAGCAGCCAGAGGAAAAGGCCTGCAGTCCAGCAGCTTCCAGGTGCTGGCATCTGCAGGTGCCAGCCAGCTGCAGCAATTGTTCTCGCAGACTTGGGGGAACGGAAAACTCGGTCCTTCCTGGGTTTGGCTTTTATCAGTGCAGCAGGGTACGAAAGGTTTTTAAAGATGCCCACCTGGATCTTGAGTCTGGGAGCAAAATAGTTGTCTCAGGGCTGCTTTGAAGCTTGACCCAGGTAGCTGAGTAAGAGTGGGGTAGACTAGGTGGTGGATCCTCTGCTTCAGAGGCCTTTACGGAGACGTGGAGTGGGAGGGCCCATGTTTCGCCCTTTGCCAGGCAGTCAGCACATCAGAGGCTGCGGCTCAGAGCTGCGGCCAATCTGCCACATGGGAGTTGCATTAATATGGGGAGACAGCGTGGGCAGTGGTTGCAGCCAGGGCCAGTGCATTGGGGCATTGGGATGCTGGACTTTGGGTGGCCTCAGTTTCTCTTCTCTGCAGAATCCTGGGGATCTTGGTGCTTAACTCTTTACAAAAAAAGGGATGCAGGGGAGCTCTCCAAGCCTGCAGCGAGATTTGCTTGTCCGGCCTGCAGTCAGGGTCATCCCAGGGTGGCAGATGGCTCGTTCCCTGCTCCCCGGTTCTCTGTTCTGAAGTGATTTATTTGTTCCTCCTTCAGGCTTTTAACAGCGCAAGATGCGACTGAGAGGCAGCAAAGGCCCAGTTACATAATTTGTTGCCAGGGTGTCTGCACCGATATGTGTTTGCATGCTGCCTTCCAGGCACATGGGAGCTTTCCCTTGGGCATCCCCCTCCCAAACTGCCTGCTGCTGTTTTAGGTGGATTTGGGGGGAAGGGTTTTATAGCTCATGAAAGCAGGTGGTGAGTACCTCAAGAATGCCTGCTGAATTGATGTTCACCAGAGACCGAGTTATCTGATTTGTTGCCACCTCGGAGAGCTATGCTGTAATCCGCATCCCTCCTGCTATCAGCACGCATGCCAGGCTAGCTCTAGATCCCCGTGGGGCTTTGCTAGGGCACCTCGGTCCAGAGGTCTAGCACCCGCTGTGATTCAGTCCTAGTCCTGGCGCCCCAGCACTCTGCCAGTGCAAAAAGATCCTTGTTTCCAGTCCAGCACCTGATTGCCTGCCAAGTTCTGCGCTAATCACAACATTATTCTCCCTTCCTCTTTTATGCCGTGCATCCTGCTAATAACATACAGGGGAAATGAGGAAATAAGGGAAGAACGTTTTTTTTTGTTGAGCAGTGGCTGTCTGATTGACCCAGACGGAGGGCCAAAGATGCATCCTCTGGGCTGAAGGAAGCATGTGCCATTTGCCTGTGCAAGGCCTTGCCTTGTAGTCCAGTCAGTCTGGCTGAGAGTATAGCCAGGGATTCAGCAGAGCAATTCCTTGAGGCCATCCTGGTTCTTGCTGAGTGGTGCGCAACTCTTCCCACTTTCTTGGAACCAAGCGTGCTGACTCCAGAGCTCCTTGCCCCTGCCAGCTCTGGATTTCAACCTCCCGGCACAGTGCGTGCAGCCTGCAGTGCCAGTGCTGTTGGATAGAAATGGATCTCCCGGCTGCTGTCTTGAGATGCGCTTTTCTAGCCTCCTTGCAGAGGGCAGCACATTATCAAACTGAATTCACCATGCATGGATGGGTGGGCGGGTGTCTATGCAGGTGTGTGCTCTCAATGACACTGTGTGATGAATCAACATCTTACCTGGAGATGGGGTTTCATAAGAGATTGCTAGTGGGAGTTGCCTGTGGTTAGAGCTGAGTTTCCCTTGAAACAAGTGATTTCCGACTGCATTTGAAATAGTTTCAGCTGTGTGGGACTAAGTAAGGGATGAGCTGCTGAGCCTTGCATGTTGTATGTTCCCTTTGCCAGAGCAGGGTGTTGCACCCAGGAAGTGGAACTGATGGGTGTTCAAGTGACTGTTGGGTCCTATTGTAGGCTTTGGAGGGAATTTTTGGAAACAACTTTTTAAAAGTTTGGCAAACCAACTGAGATCAGTGAGGTTTTTAAAAACGGATGCCAGGGCAAATCCCTGACAGAATTGGGCTCAGTTCCTCTTTTGTTTGGAGGTAAATGACATTTCCACTTCACTTTCTTTGCAGGGTTTGCAGTCTAAGCTTTGTGACTTTTTTTCTTCTTGTACAAGAGCCTAAAACAAAAGTGCCTGGATATTGCCCTGTGTTAGGCAGGTGGCATTACCCAGGTAATTTAGGCTAAAAATTAAACAAACAGCATTGGTAGTGGAAGTAAATTTAGATTTAAACCCCCTTTCCCCACCCCACCCCAAGCTACCAGAGAGAACATATTGTTTTATAACTTGCCCTCAGCACTGGTAGAATAACTGAGGAGCCGCACTTTTAAAAAGTCAAACTTTGCTTTTCCCAAGTCATTGTTACGCAGTTCCTGATGTCCTCTTTCTTCTTGGCTGGTGGGTGAAGACAACAGCCATATTCGTTGATGTTTTCAAAGTCTTAGCTGCCCCTGAAACTCATTGAGCCTGGGCAGTTTGTTATGGTGATACAGAATACAACCAGGCTGGCAAACAGTGATTGTAAGTGGAAGGCGGGGCTGGTAGGGAAAAGCTGATAGTCATTCCTCCTTGGTTTTCTTTGCCTGCCCCAATGCTTGAGATGTTTCTGGGGCAGTAGACATTTTTTTGAGAGAGGGCTTCAGTCCTAGCTGCCCTTTCCCTTGTTCTCCTGCCAGCAGTGTTTGATCTTTTGCAGCACCTGAGTGTAGTGAAGGTACAGGGCCTTGCACTGGCCTAAATGTATGTCCAGTGAAGGGTTAAATTCTCTTAACTTGCCCTGTTTCCCCTTGAAGTCCTAGCTGCCATTGTTCTGGGAATCATGTACGTTTGATCCTTCCACTTACCCTAGGCTCATAGGAAAGCAGGGATTTGCATGTGTCCTTGATGAATTTCATCTGGTTGATTATGGAGCATTTCTCCAGCCTCTCCTCGTCAGTCTGGATCCTAGCTGTACCCTCTGGAGTGTTTGCAAGTCCACCCGACATGGTGTCATCCATAGATTTGCTGAGTATGCACTCGTTCATTTATCAAAGGATAAGTAATCCTGATGATGTTATTTCTCTGACTCATTTAAAAGGCAGATCGGGAGCGGCGCAGAGAAATTTCCTTACTAGATGACATTTCATCGCAATGTCCGATCGTTTGGGGCAAATAACCAAGGGAAAGGATGGGAAAAGCAAGTACTCGACTCTCAGCCTGTTTGATAAGTATAAAGGAAAGTCAATAGAAGCTATCAGAACTACAGGTAAGCAGCGCCGGGTGCGAGTCAGCCCCAAGGTTTCTCTCACAAGGGGAATCTTCACTGCTGTTAGCTAGAGGTGGGAGGCAGGTTGGTACCTGGGTCTGAACACCCAGGTTGACCTTGCCTGGCAATGAGCTGCTGCATTGCACAGCCATGCTAGACTTACCGTGTCCTTGGTGGTGCTGCTTTCACCCATGTGGCAGTCTGAGGTCATATTCCATGGTTCTTTGGTACGCTAAGCTGTGCCACGCTATGATTTCTACCCATTGAATTGTGGCAGAACTTGTCTGACCTTCTAGATGCATGGGAATTGTGGGGAGGTATTGGAGGCCTTTCCGTGTTCAAGGGGCTTAGTCTGTATTCCCACTGCAAGGTGAGCAGGTTGCTAGCTTGAGTGAAGGCCTCTCTCGCGTTTCAGCTCCTACCTAGCTCAGGGCAGACAAGGTGTAAAGTGTCTCTAAGCTTGGGCCAGAAGTTTATGTGGACAGGAGTGGGTCATGGAGCAACACCTGTGCTAATTCTGCAGTGAAGACCAAAGTAGAAGCACCAAGGTCAAATGGTTGCTTGGGTTGGTTCTAGACTTGGTATGGGGTGGAAGGATGGACAGAGGGAAGGTTAGTAAATGTGACCTAGTGACTAGAGCAGCAGGGTCTTTGATCCAGGACTGCTGGATTCTGTTCCCAGTTCTGGTGTATGGACTTGGGCTACCTTTGTAACTATTTTGTGCCTCCAACCAACTGTAAAATGGTGATGGTCATTTTAGTAGAATTGATTTGACTGTTTGGAGATATAAAAGAGGCATAGATTTAATGTTATGCAAGGTTGATTCAGTCCTTCCTGCTGGCAGAGAAAAGCTCAGGGTTCAGTGCATATTTCTAGGCATGAGCCTTTGGGTTGGAGGTTCTGAATAAAGACCCAAGGCCTTGTCTGATGTGCACGGGTTCCAAGAGATCCTGAGATGCTTTCTGTAAAGAGAGAGGTGTTTGCTTCAGTACCCTTGGCCAAATTGTCCTTCCTTCTCTCAGAAGGTTGTGTGTCAACTGACTGCCACTCCACCACCGCTTTGCAGTGGTTCTTGGGGAAGAAAGGTCCTGTGTAAGTATTAAATAGTAGTTTCATAAGTGCAAAGAAGCTGGGATGCAGCTAGTGATGGTAATTGCTTGAGGGTTAGATTCTGCCATCTTCCCTCTCACTAGTTAAAATCTGTGGGACTCATTGCTACTGGCCATGTTTGATTTTTGGTGGGTCTGCTCAAGGAACAAGGCACCGAATGCAGTGAGTGAGGTCAGTGGGGTCTTCCCCTTTGTGACTTGCTGTCTCTCCCTCTAGTTATTCCTAGACATGGCTTGCAGAGTCTCGGGAAAGTTGCTGCTGCCCGGCGTATGCCACCTCCTGCCAACTTGCCAAGCTTGAAGTCTGAGAACAAAGGAAACGACCCCAACATCATTATCGTACCCAAGGACGGTACAGGATGGGCAAACAAGCAGGATCAACCAGACCAAAAGAGGTAGGTGGAGCCCTTCTTGTGCCAGGCCCTTTGGGCAGCTGTCCTCTGTCATGCTGAGGTTTCTTGGTGGAGCCAGCCCAGGAGGGTTTGGCTGCTAATGGGTTTTGAGGATGCTGAGCTCCCGTGTCTTTGAGCCAGGTGGGAAGGCCTCAGTCCTGGCATGGTGCACAGGGCTACTGGTGGTGTTTGGGGTGACCACCTGTCTCCTTTTCCCTGTCTGATGCTGGTTGTTCTGTACTGTCCCCCAGTTCCAGTGCGACGGCTGCACAGCCGCAGGAGTCGCTGCCGCAGCAGGGTTTGCAGAAGTCTGTCTCCAATTTACAGAAGCCGACACAATCGATCAGTCAGGAGGTAGGCATGCATTGTGTGGGTGACAGCCGTTCGTTTTTCCCTAGGCCTGGGCAGCCTGCGGGTTGCCTATATTGCCGTGCACGGCTACGAATCAACAGCCTGTATCATTCATTTGCAAGGTGTCTTGACTCCATGTGGCGGTGCCGTGAGTACTGCTGCTAGATGAATATTTGAGGCACATCACCTCTGTACCTTTCAAGCCTTCAAGGAGAGCCCAGCTACAAATCAGGGGTTGAACAGCTGGAAAGGCACTTGCAAAACCCTTTCATTTTGGGTCCATTCAAAAGGAGTGATGTGACATCAGATCCAGCTTTTGCTCTAAGCCAAAGGCTTGATATGGCTTGCTAAGAAGAAATCTGGCTGGGTGTGACAAATAGCAAGTGTCGGAGCTTGAAGGATTCGCTGGCAAGTGAGAAGACTCCACCATAGGGACCCAACCCCATGACTGTTGCTGAATCTAAGCGTTGACTTTTATGAAAGCCACATGGTTTTGCAGCATGCACTTGCGCATGGCACATGGTTTTGCATGCACTCGCCCTTTTGACTTTGCAGAGGAAACAGGAAGAGTAGGCAGTTGGTCAGTGTCTGAGAGCAGAGGCTTCCAGGCATGTGGGATGACACTGCAGACTGAGAGGGGAGTATTTTTGACAAAGAAGGAATCTTTAGAGGGTGAGAGGATCAATCTAAGAAGACAGCTGGGGAATCTGGTTAAAGTATTGGGGGATGTTGGCATCTGAGTGAGCATTTCACAGCAGCCTTTTTGGTGTGCTGGTGCAGAGACTTGCAGAGGCAGTGATGGCCCCTGCAAGGAGGTTAAGGGGACCTGTAGTCCCACGCAGGTGACCTTGGGAGCTGATCCTGGTAGTACAGTGTTGCTTAGCTTTTATCCAGATGGTGAGGGACCGTCACAAGTGTCTCCTGGTCTTTTTCTCTTGGTTTGCAGAGTACAATTTCAGTGCCAGGTGGACCAAAGTCATGGGCGCAGCTGAATGGAAAGCCAGCAGGACACGAAGGTGGTGAGTATTACTGAATAATGATGGAGGGGTGCTTGCATGTTCCACTTTGCATGCAAGTAAGTCTTGATGTGTTGCCACTCTAAAAGCTGGATTAGTTGCAGGCAGACTTGTGACCACACAGGCATTGCATGGCTGTAGATGCCTCATGCAGCCTGGTGGCAAAGTGAGGTTTATGGGCTTCCCTGTTTACATTTACACCGCAGTTTGGCCCAGTGGAAGATGTGTATGGCCCCTTGTGTGCCCACACAAGGCTGCTTTGGCATCTGTGGTGTCCTGACTCAATGCTTTCACACGAGGGTAGTTGCCTAATGTATTCACACCCAGACTTGGACACATGTAAGATGTGAGCCAGAGGTAAAAAGGTGGAGGGGATGGGTGCTATGGGGAGCAAGGAAGAGGAGGCGTTAAGACAGTGATTCTCAACCAGGGTACTGAGATACTTTCAAGGGTGCTGTGGAGGCCCACACACAATGTTAGCACTGTTAGGTGTGCAAACATGATTCACAAGATAAACACAGATATTTCAAATCAGAGTCTGTAGTGTTACAAACTGTTCTGAGCAGTGGTGGTCTGAGTTCTTTGCTACAGAAAATCTGCTCTATTTACGTTCTTCATTCAAAAGCTGGGTGTAAGCTAAGAGCTGGCACTTTCCAAGGGGGGAAGGGGTGGGGGGGGCAGATTGAGGCCCCCATGGTGAGGGGGGGAGTGGGGCTGGGGCAGGCACTGCACAGCCAGGATGGGAAAAGGGTGTGGGACGAAGCTGTGGGTGGCTTGTCCACGGGGGACCAGGGGTGGGGCAGTTCTTGCTGCTGTGCATACCCCAGAGGAAGTACGGCAGGGCACGTGCACCCTGGATCTGTGCACGGGGTAAAGGTGGGTTGCCACTGTCGGCTGGGCGCTGTCAGCCTCTTCCCAGTGGGGTGGCTAGGCCGGGGCTGTGCTCAGGTGAGGCGAGCGGCAGCAGCACTGGGAGGGAGGGTTACGGGTGGGGGTGCTTACAGCTACCCTGAAATTCACTGTAGCCCCCTTCCCATAGCCCCTTCTCCCAGTGCCACCTGTGTCTGCTCCAAGTGCAGCCCTAGCCCAGCCCACTCACTGGGAAAAGGCTGGTGCAGCCCCCGGCCTTGAGCTTGCAGTGGGCAGCCTGCCCTTGCTCCATGCACAAATTGAGGAGGTGTTTATCCCCCATGCCTCCCCTGGGGGTGCTTGCAGCAGTGGGAACCACCCTGATGAGCTGTCCTTGGTTCTGTCCCACTCCCTCCCTCACCACAGGGGTCTCAATCTGCCCCCCACCCCTTCCTCCCCATAGACTTGCCAGCCAGATGCTGCTCTCCACTGCCGGGCTGCACAAGGCATTTATCGGCTGCCTTACCGGCCACATCAGCCAAAAAAAAGCCAATTGCCGATAATGTCAATTTTCCTTTGATCAGTGCCAATGTGATATGGACTGATGTATTGGTGCACCTCTAGTTGTGGATCCAATGTTTCTCATGTTTACCTACCATAAGGAAGCAGGTGCCATAGACCCAAGGGTGACTGAAAACATGCAAAACCTAGCGTGGGAGCGAGATGCTAGAAAAGCAGCTTACGAGGAAGGAAGCCAGGAGACTTAAAGCATATGGGAGCGGTGTCATGAAGCAGTCACAGGTGCAGCCCTAGTGTCTATATGAGTCTTCATATAGTCCTCAGGCCAGCGCAGCCTTGATGTAGGGAGCCGCACTGAAGTTAGCCTGCCACTCGCTGACTCTGCTGCTAATAGCAGCTGCTTGCCTGTGGGACTTGAAAGCAGTTGAACATTTCAAACAGAAAAATGTGCTCCATGACTTGGAGCTTTGATCTGATTTGGAGCCTGTCTCTTTTGAACCTGGACATGATTCCTGGTTGCAGTGAATATTGGTATTTAAGGTGCGGCAAGAATAGCATTAGGGCAGTGGCACTGAGTTTTTGACGTTGGGAGCTGCTAGGTTAGGAAGTGAAAGTTCAGTGTTTCAAAAAATGGAAATGGACTAGAAATGCAGTGACTGACTCTCCTGATCGGCATGGAGGTTTTCTCAAGGCTCAATGACCTCTGCAGACACCCCTGCTTGCTTCAGGCAGCTTCCAGCCCAAATACAGATCTTTCTGTATTGGACTGCTACTTTCTCTGAGGTGGTTGCCAATGCCGTATGGACTTTTCTTTGCTGGGTGTGAAATCTAGGGGCTGGGCCAGCCCAGCCCTTGCTGAAGACCTGATCTAAGAGTAGTCTCTAGGAAAGCAGATCAAACCATTGTGACTTGGAGCCAAGGAAGAGCCACATGCTGGGTTCAGAAGTGCTTAATTAAAACATAGTTGAATCAGAGAATCACAGAAATCAGACTGGGAAGACTATTTACTTCTTGCACATGTTCTGCAGTTGCTTTTACAGAATGACAGAAATTAAGGCTTTTGCTCTTTCTTTGCTCAGTTTATCTATTCCCTCTTCCAAAGATGGGGGAAGGAGAGATCTCTGTATATCTGAGGCAGTATAGTCTGCTAAATTAGTTATGAACTGCCATTTGAGTAAAGTGAGATGCTTGTAGTTCCTCTGTTCAAATAACCATTCAGGGAGAGATGTTTACATTGGGCTGGACTCATTCCAGTGCAGTGTCCTGGGGTATTAGGCTCCAAGTTGTTAACACCTGTAGATAAACGGTCCTTTTAGTGCAGCCTTACAGATATGGAGGAAAGCTGGCTCTTTTTCCCTACTGTGCTAAGCAATAAATCTGTCCTGGAACACATCACAATATTAAAGATAGCCAACTATATCTTATAATAGCTGATGAATATTATTAAAATTCTTGCTGCAAATACAGTTAGCCCAGTAATGCAGAATAAATAAGACCTCTGTTGCTCTAAACATTTGAGATCTGTCCCAGCTGAGAGAGTTTGAGACACTAAACTTGCAAAATATTGATGTAGAAGTGCTGCAGGCAGTACTGGCCTTTATCTAGCTGCTGACATCCGGGAAGTAGTGGTGTTAGTTATGGAGCAAAGGACCAGGATCCTGACTTGGCAGCTCCTGTATTGTGAAACTGTATCTAGGACAGTCTTTCTTTTGTTACACTCTCTTGAATTTAAAGAGGCAGTTGTGACCAGGTCACATTCCTCAATGCTGTTAGTCAGTCATTTTTTTTTTAATAAGGATTTTCTATCAAAGCTGATCAAAATGAGTTTTACATGTAAATATTTCTAGATAAAACGCAATTAAAATGATGGGTCGATTTGCTTTTCTTTTTGTGTTTCCAGTTAATAAAAAGAAACAACAGCTTGGAGGAAGGTGAATTCCTGCAAACGAAACTAGCTAAAATATACTAGTCATGCTTTGCTCTTCAGAGCAGAAATGACAAACAGTAAATTAGATTTTCCTTCTGTGTCTTTATTAATCACTTGTGTTCAGTGGAACAAACAACCATCAACTGTACTTTTTATTTGGCTCTTGTCTTCCTGGCACCCGGAAGCGGTTATCAGAGCAGGGCATGCTTTCCCCAGCTTTGCACTTGTTTTAAAATGCCTCTTTCTGCATAATCATTTTGGATTCTTCCTGCGTGGTGATGGGCAGGCTCCTTCCATTCAGCATCACCGGGCTGATAAGTCCAGGATGAATTGCTTTGTGTTACGTTCTCCCATAGCTAATAATTCACCAGGACAGCTTACCAGGAAGGGCAAATGAACTGGCTAGCTTTTGGACGGTGATCTGTGCCATCAAAATGCAGTGGAAGGGGCAGCGCATATGCCACAGTGCACTTATCTACAACTTTGTATGGATAATGTTGCTGGGAGTGTAAGAACATAACTCTCCAGTGGAGGAATATCAGAGGTGGAAGAGTCTGAATGGAGATGTCAGGTGTTTGATATCTGGGTATTATTTATAAGCTGGCTTGCAGAGTTGTCTTGTCAATTTGGTCTGAGTGAATGGACTCTCCAGAAATATTTAGGAGCTGCAAAACCATGTGCCTTAAATTCCTACGGCCAACCAAATGAAACTATGCCTCTGTGTGAAGAGTGGGTGAGTTACTTCAGTGGAGTCACGTGCTGTGTTAGTGAACATCCTGCATCTGCTGCATACTGAGCTGTTAGCAGATGCCAGGAAGGCAGCAGTCTGGGGGGTGAATATGTTAGAGATCAAGGTTACTGCGAGGAAACTTTCTGCTGCAATTCCAAGCTGGGCAGGGTTACTGCAAGTCAAAGCAGCCTTACAGTCAGTCATGCCCTTGTGTCTTTGGCAGGTTCAAGGGTCTCAAGCCGACTGTTATCCTTCTCTCCCGAGGAATTTCCGACGCTGAAAGCAGCAGGCGAGCAGGACAAGGTTGGCAAAGAAAAGGGCGCCTTAGATCTGTCGTATGGGCCAGGACCAAGCCTCCGCCCCCAGAGTAAGTCCATGGCAGCAGCTTTTCCTGCCAACCCTGTGTAACTCCCTAGATGCCTTTCTCAGGGGAGGGAAATGGTCATCCCATTTGTCTGCAGTAGTCTTGGATGCCCACTCCCCATCCTCTGACACTCCTCCAACAAGCCTCTGCATACGCTCTGGCATGGCCAATGACCATGGAACCCAGCTTGCTGCTGACATTGGGTACCTGACTTCCGCAGTGCAGACAGCTAAATATTTACTGTCACCTGCCTGCTCATTGCTTAAGTCTTGCTGTTTGCAGGATGGAAGGGGGGAAGAGCACAATGCAGTGGGTAAATGGGCTGACTCGTTCCTGCTGGAGAACTGGTCTCCTCTCTGCCTGGGTCGCAAATGCAAGGGGGTTGGTGGCATCATTCTAGCTCGCAAGGGGCACTTGTCTTTGGCTGAAGCGATTGCTTGCGCCTGCATGATGGGGACATACATGCTGTGAGGACACAAGGACTGTGGTACGGTGGGATTGGGGCTCCTTTGAGCGTATGTATGTGTGGACTTGTATGGTTACAGCAGTTCCCCAATAGCAGATGATGCTCTGTCCCTTGTATGATGGGGGAAGTCTTTTATTTATTTATTTTATTTATTTTTATTTCCTTCTTCTACTGGAATTACCAAACCACCTGGTGTCTCTGACCCTGGGCTGTCTCTGCTTGGTGGCCTTCACATGTGTGCATGCGCCTGTGTCATTTCCTTTTCAGATGTCACTAGTTGGAGGGAGGGCGGTGGGAGGAACATTACCTCTGCCACGTCTCTGACCGCCTCCCCTGCTGAGCCGGGCAGCAAGACCTCTAGTACCGGAGATGGAGCCCCCTCCTCAGCGAGTGCCAGCGATCCTAAGGAGCCCTCTCTGCGCCCAGCTCAGCCTGTCCGAAAAGGGGCATCACAGTTCATGGGAAATGTGTACCAGCCACCTACATACCATGACATGCTACCTGCTTTTGTAAGTCCCTCTGCCCCCGTAAGCTGCCTCTGTTTCTCGCTCATCCTAAGGTGTCATAGTGCAGCCCAGTGAAGTAAGAGGGTGCCTGTGGGGTGCGGAAGTTGCATCTGACTTCAGGAGCCCCCTCGGTGATTTCTGGTGATGGTTACACAGAATATAAGTGTGATACTGGGTCAGACCAATGGTCCATCTAGCCCTGCATCCTATCTTTGTCAGTGGCAGGGGTGGATACTATAGAGGGGGAGCATTGAATTGGATACCTCTAGAGTGATTTACTGTACTCTCTATTCACTACCCGCTCTGGGATCAACCATTAGAGGTTGAGAAATGGCAGAGGAAACATCTCCAAGCATTCTGTACAATTGCCATTGATAGATCTATCATCCATGAATGTATCCAGTCTCTTTTTGAACCTGGCTCTCCTATGTGCCTCTACCACCTCCTGTGGCAGTGAATTCCACAAGTTAATTATGCATTGCTTAAAAAAATTTCTTTTGTTAATTTTAAACCTGTCACCTACTAATTTCAGTGAGTGCCTTCTAGTTCTAATATTTTGGGTTTTAGTGAACAACAGTTCCCTATTTGCTTGGTCCACACCCTTCATGATTTTGTAAACCTCAGTTATATCTCCCCTCAGCCTTCTTTCCAGAATTGAGTTCTAACCTTTGCAGTCTGTCTTGATATAGCAACTGCTCCATGCCCCTGATCATTTTGGTTGCTCTTTTCTGTAGTCAGGAACCACTGGGATACCCACCCCCTGTCCTGTGCTGACCATCTTGCCTATTTCCCTGCCCTCATTTGCCAGCATCAGTGTAACCTTGATCAGACGGGAGAGGTGCATCTGTCACACCAAGAACATGTCGCTGCCTCAGCTGGTGCTTCAGGCAGGGTGTCTGGAAGGACTGCAAGCGTGCTTACCCAGTGCTTACTAAACTGTCCTTCCCTTCCCTACCTTAGCACTGAAACGTTTTTGTTTGTGCTGCCTGGGTATTACAGTCCATGGCAAAGAAAAGCTTTATGTTCACCATTGTCTCGCTTCAGATGTGTCCACAACAACCACCCGAGACCCCTGCCTCGCTGGACCGTGGGTCTTTCCCTCTCCCTCAGCTTCGACTTGAGCCCCGTGTCCCTTTCAGACAATACCAGATGAACGACCAAGACGGGTACGGCCACCGTGAGTCACCAGCTTGGAGAGACCAGTGAAGGACAGAAACCCTAATGAAGGAGGGCCAGTGGATAAAGTTGTCCATTGCTGGGGGGGTGGGGGTGGGACTGGCTTCATGTTGAGCTTCAGTGTGTTGCTGCTTTTGCAACAGGGTCTGGGATCATTGCAGAGATAGGAGGTGAGAGAGCTCTGCCTGTTGCTGCAGGAGCAGGTAGAGTTTGGAAGGTATCCTTCCCCAGCCAGAACAAAAGCATCCACAACCTCTAGGTTCCAGGGAACAACACTGGAGACTCCTTTAATAGCTGTGGAGGGCAGAAGGAGAGTTGGATATGCAATAATAGATGTTTGTAGCTTGACTGTATAAAATAAATGCATGCTACAAACATAGCTGGAACCGGTGTCCAAGCTCAAGTCATTTTGATTCTCCACCTAATGACCTCTTCTCCCTTTGACTGGTGCCTGCAGCATTATCTCTCTTCTATTTCTGTATAGGAAAGAGAACAGACTTGGGATGTCTCGTCCAACTCGTCCACTTCGGCAGCAAGCAGAGCGGGCCCCCCGGCCCACCATTATCAATGCGGAAAACCTGAAGGGTCTGGATGACCTTGATAACGATGCAGATGATGGCTGGGCAGGTAATGTGCCACAGACCCCTAGCGATAAGGTGACAGTGACTGCTCAAGGAGCAGATAGGTTCCTCCTCTTGTCCCAAAGAGCCCCTTTGTTTTGGAAGCTCAGTCCTTCTACCTGAAGTGGGAAGAGGGTGTCATGGGCTGTTGGACAGTTGCTCTCAGTGGAAATGATGGTACAATAGATCCTTCTGATCCTTCCACTCTTCTGTACTCAAGGAACCGGATCTGAGGACTCCTAAGAGCTGATAACACTGAGGAGCAGAGAGGGTGCAATGTGTTTCCATTCTGGGAAGAGGGAGAGGTTGTCTGAAATCTTATGAGACCCATCATCTCTTTGGGAGAAATCTAGCTCTGCATGATCATGCACACAGGATACCTCTTCTCAATTTGCTGCCTCTGTTTACTTGCATGATGTATTATTGGTTTTGTAAAATCAGCCCTGCTGTTGAGGTGGTCTGTGGGGCCTATACTGCTTGCTTTCAATTGTCCTAATGGTTCTGACTTGGCTTTCTGGCTTATGGCTATAGAAAATGCTTTTCAGAACATGACAGGACCCTCTTCCTTTCTTTCTTTTTTTTGGATGCATCCCCTGCCCATGGCCCCCATCTCAGGCATTCATGATGAAGTGGACTACTCAGAGAAACTGAAGTTCAGTGAAGATGAGGAGGAGGAGGAAAATCTTAAAGATGGAAGACAGAAATGGTAAGAGTGTGTGATTCCCTTGGTGCCACATTCACCCTCCCAAGCTTAAACATTATTACACTGTTGATTTGTGTAAATGGATTTATTTAAAGTATTTTCTGGATATCTGGAAATGAGGCTTGCCCCTTTCAGCTTATGTCAGAAGTTTGGATCCCACGGGTTGTGGTAGCAGGGTGATGTTGAAAGGGTGACGGGACTGGGAGTCAGGAAAGCTGGGTTCTATTCCTGGCTCTGCCACTTGTCAGCCATGCAGCCTTCAGTGAGCTGCTTTCTCTCCACCTGTGAAACAGCATTGCTGATGCTTCAGCATCTTCACAAAGTATCTTGAGATGTGGGTGAAAAGCATGATATATGGGCAAAACATCTGTTGTGCATCTTTTTTTCTCCATGTTGGTTTAGAAGGCTGTCTCCTGCCTTGCGACTCGATGGGTAGGGTTGGGAATGTGTATTGAAGCGAGTTGGAAGTGTAATAGCAACAGCATCTGTGTGGTAGGAACAGCTGGGACCCCAGAAGGCAGCGGCAGCTGTCCCTGAGCTCTGCAGACAGCGCAGATGTCAAACACCCCTTGGAGGAAGGGAAGAACTGGGCTGACTCGGTGGGCTTGTCCCGGGGTGTCCGCAAAGTGCAGGACCCCCCACAGCCTCCAAGAAAGCTCAATGGCTGGACCTCTACATCAGAATATCAGGTATGCTGACCACCCCCTGCCCTTTCCTACACTGGCTCAGGCCCCAAGAAGCTTACAGCGACCCTCCCGCAAACCCATGTTGGGAGTTAAACCCAACAGGGAGTCTAGTTCTAGGCAGCCTCCATAGCAAACGTATGTCTGAGCAACGCAAGAATAGCTGAGGGAACTAACAGTAGGGGAGGATCTCCTTTGAGCCTGCTGATGCTGCTGGAGGACTGGGGCAGGACTATATTTTGCACAGTCCTCCCTGTGTTCCCAGCACTACAGAGGTTCCTGGGCAGCATTCCCACCAGAGGGGGGCTGAGGGGGAGAGAATCAAAGCTGGACTAGAGCATTACGGTGACACCCCATGTTTTCTTGCCCATGCAGTTAGTGGTGCCGTCCCCAGTGCCGATGTGCTGCAGTGACTGGAGACCAAGGGTTAGGGTATGGGAGACTTTTAGAAGTTTCTCAAGTGTGATGGAGCTATGGGATTATTCCCAGCTAGGGAGAGGCTTGCTTGGGGAGGGAAGGTTTGGGGGTTCTGCCTTGTGTGAGATGAAAAGAAACAGCTGCAGGAGAGTGGAGTGTTTGGCTGACCCTCACCAGGATGTTCTTGTCTCTGGCAGAAGCCCCCAGTGGGCAGTGTCCTTAGACAGCAGTCCCTGGAAGAGAAGGAGGAGAAGGTGCCCCTGAGGCAGAAGTTTATCCACTCAGAGATCTCTGAGGCTGTGGAGCGAGCCAGGCGGCGACGGGAGGAGGAAGAGCGGCGAGCCAGAGAGGAACGTCTGGCAGCTTGTGCTGCCAAACTCAAGCAACTGGATCAGAAGTGCAAGCTAGCTCAGAAAACAGGAGAGGCCCAGAAACACGTGGAGAATGAAGAGCTGAAAACCCCCACCATGGAAAAGGCCACAGTTCAGGAGAACGGCCACACTTTCCGGAGAGGTATTGGCACCTGACCAGGCTTGTGTCAGAAGAGTGGCTGTGATGATTGCTTTTAGCAGAGGCAGGGTACATTGACCTGAAAGGACACAGAAAGCCATCATGGGCTTATTTGAGTTGCATCAGACAAATCAATTCTTTCTGGTTTCCTGAAGAACATTTTGGGGTCACTAAAGCAGGGCCTTTTTAAAGGAGCCTCTGCCTTTATTAAAGTTGCTTAGAAAAAGCCCTACCACTCCAGTTCCCTTGCCTGTATTAAGAACCAGCACTCCAGAGTGTTCACCCCCTTGCTCTGTCAAATAGGGTTAGATCTAGGAAGTGGAATGGCCTGGGGACCTCTGCTAGCAAGGCCCTGGCCACAGGGTCAGGGGTACTAAAAAGACAAAAGGGGACTTGCACTGTTATTGAAGCAGCTCCTTTCGCCAAATGGATCTGTGGCCAGTTGTCCTCAGTTGGAAGGATGTTGGTGGCAGTGGAAGGTCTCAGCTGGAGGGGTTTGTAGTTAAATCAAGAAAACAGGGATCCTTAAAGCTGTCAAAGCAAGGCAGAGGAGTTAGTGGCTGAAATTTTGCCTGTGTAGTGGAGCATGAGGAGGAGCGTGGACTGCAGTTCCCTGAAGTAGCATAGTCGCAGTGAACCAGCAGATCATCTATGAAATGTCGTTGCAGATGACTGGAGAGAGGGTTTATAATGTGCTCTAGCCTCATGCATAGCACAACTGAATCCATGTGTTCTTCTCCACCAGCAGCCCCCGAATTCCATGCCCAGGAAGCCTCTGCTGGTTATCTAGAAGAGGAAACCGCAGCCACAACAGCAGCTGCCCAAAGCAGCAGTGAGGAGGAGCTCCAAGAAGCCACGTCCCCAGCACAAGAATTCACCAAATACCAGAAATCGCTTCCCCCACGGTTCCAAAGACAGCAGCAGCAACAGCAGCAGGTGAGAGGTTTGAGAGTCTCCAGCCCCCACCTCAACTTAACTTTACCCGTTTGTTGAATCTTGTTCCCTTGGGGCTGTAACTTAATGCAGAAACAGCAGGAGCTGGGGGTTGTAGGTGACCTCACATGGTCCTTTCCAACCCAGTTTTCCTACAGTCCTATGAAATCTTGAAAGCCTTGCTACAAGCAGCAGTGTCTGGCCATGGTGGCTCAGAGGTGGAACTTGAGGGCCAGATGACTTGTCCTGTTTTCTGCATGCTCTCCCCATGGGTCACCTCTCTGCATCAGTTAGGCAGCATTATGGTTTGCCGAGTACTTCTGCTCTTTATGTGGCTAATGCAGTTATATGCCCCACACATGTTCTTACTCACAGCTGGTATACCCATATAGCACAAGCTTTGCTGAAGGTGGCTGTTGAAATCGCCTGTAGAGGAGGTTGCCAGAGTGGCTTAGCTTCTGAGAGAAATGGGTTCGCTTTGCAAATATCAGTGTTTGTTGCAGCCTGCTTTTATGGCAGCTCTGAGGGCTGGCTCATTAGATGTCCCAGCTTTAATCTCCTGACCCTACTTGCCTGATACTGCTCCCTCAGTTTAGAACAAAGTAAACTGCCCTTCAGTGCCCTTTTCTTTATGAAGGGATCTTTCTAGGTTAAATATTAGGCTCCCTTTAGCATGCTGTTTATTGAAAAATTGTGTTTCAGCTTAGTGTAAAGCCTCTAAAGACTTTCGAGATTTTAGTGGCTGGTGTATTTGAAAGGCCATGGACACTTAAGCATATTGTGAGCATGTTGTAGAGAAAGCACCTTAGCCTACAATGGTGTGTGTCTTGCTCATTAAAGCAGCAGTTCCCAATCCGTGGTACGCATACAGCTTGTCAGTGATACGCAGTCACAGATTTATTATAATTACTTTACATGACAAAAATTTGCTGGTGGTACTCAAGGTTGAACTGAAATGTGTGCTGGTGGTAAAATACAAAGGTTGTATTGTTTTAAATTGGTGGTGCACAATCTATCAGAGCTTGGGAACTGCTGCTTTAAAGAGATTTGTCACTTGAAATATGCGTGGTTGGGAAGCTGGAATGCTGCTCCTGGAGTGGAAGCCCTGAGTGTTGCTAGCAGTGACTTTTATTTTCTGCTATGGGGCACAGCAGGAGAAGAGAGTTGGCCTTTTCAGCGATCATGTGCTGCTTCTGATAATGTTGCAAACCAAGGAAGAAAAATTCTGAGGCAGATGGAAGAGATTAAGGTTAATCTTGTGTTTTAATTGCACTTGTTACGTTCTCACCTGAGTGCAGTTTGTATTTTTGTGGCCCATTAGCTTAAGCCCAGATGGCAAGTCAGCGTCATGCCTGATGGAACCCTCTGGTAGATTCATAGAAGTCGGGTTGGAAGGGACCTAAGTAGATCTTCAAGTCCGGCTCCCTGCCCTGGGCAGGAGAGAATACTGGGCTCGTGACCCCAGCTAGGTAATTGTCTAGCCTCCTCTTAAAGACCCCCAAGGTAGGAGCCAGCACCGCTTGCCTTGGAAGTTGGTTCCAGATCCTAGCTGCCCTGACCGTGAAATAATGCCTTCTAATGTCCAGCCTGAACCTATTGTCAACCAACTTATGGCCATTATTCCTTGTTACTCCAGGAGGTGCTCCTGTGAACAGGGTCTCTCCCATTCCCTGCTGGCCCCCCCCCAGTGAGTTTATAGATGGCCATCAGATCCCCTCTCAGCGTTCTCTTGTGAAGGCTGAACAGGTTCAGGTCCTGTAGCAGTAGAGGCTGGACCATGTTCCGCTTCTTTAGCGAAGCGGAATAAGATAACCACTGTGGTGGTTGTGTATCCCTGTGATACATAGGAAATGCAGTAGGACTTCTTTATTTGTTTTCATAACTGAATTTTATTACTGTTTCTTCTTATGTCTCAGGTTAATACATCTTCTTGCATTATGATCTTATGCTGTATAGCACATAGAGATAATACTTCCTCCAAAAAGAAGCCTTATCTGTAGCATTGGATTCCAAGTGGTCAGTTGTGTTTTAACAGGAAAAGGCCATGAAGTCTCCGGTATTTCCACACGTGTTTGGAAAATACAGATGTTGGCTTTGAAGCCGATCTTTTGGTTTCTAGTTGCTTGGGTAGGGTGTAACGTAATGGAGTGCTCTCCTAGCAATGCCAGCAATATATATGTGGAGGGACAGCATGGTTTGACATGTGTTGATGTGTATTTCTAAAGAAGCCCTGGTGGTTCCCTCTTAAACAAGCAGTGAACTGTCGTCATCTGTTTTCTCCTGTACTCAAGGCAGCACAATGGAACATCCTTTGGAGCCTAAAATGCATAAGCTGATCTAGGCCAAAGAGAATGGACTTGTGTCCTGCTATATTCAGGAGCTCATAGCTTGTGCCACCCTGACTTTTTTCATTTCTCCTTCTCCAGGAGCACCTGTACAAGATGCAGCACTGGCAGCAGCAGCAGGTCTATCCTCCACCATCCCATTCGCACCCCCAGCGCACCTTCTATCCACCACACCCTCAGATGCTTGGGTTCGACCCTCGTTGGATGATGATGCCTTCTTACATGGACCCTCGCATGGCTCAGGGCCGCACCCCTGTGGATTTTTATCCGTCAGCCCTTCATCCTTCAGGTAAGGAGTCTTTTGTGCCTCCCTTATCCTCAGGGGCCCTCCTTACTTGGCTTTACACCACATCTGCAGCTTAGATTCAGGAGATTCACTGCATGTAGCCAGCAGGATTTTAGAATGCAAAGAGAAAAGAGTGGTTTTGGGGGTTCTGGTTAGTCCCTCCACAGATGCCTTGGAGTAGTCACTTTGCTGAGGTTTCAGGCCACTAAGAGGTGCTATGCTAGGTCACAGGCTGGCCCTTTTACTTGAGAGATGCATTCTTGTTGCTTGTTGTTGACCCTGTTCTGGGATCAGAACAGTCAGTTGCACAGCAGGAGCTGATGAGCAGGTAGCACATGGATGTTGTCCTGCTTGGAGCTGGGTACCGGAAAGGGCTAGAAAAAAACAGACTCTTCTACCCACGCTGCTACTGGTATGCTGCCTGGGGGCTTGCATGGAGCCATGGGGAGGAAGTCATAGCAGATTGTATTAGACCAAGGCAGGATTGTTTGTGTGAAAGGGAAGGAAAGGGCTGGAGATGAGTTTAGTTCTGCAAAACTTGGTTACATCTTCTCTAGTCAGAATGGTGAACAAGCCAAAAAGTCTTAGTAACATCCCTGTAGTGCCTCTTCATCCTGCTACTAACCAGCCAGAGATATACAAACAGAAAGCTGAAGGAGCACCATTTGATGCAGTTGGTCATGCAGGGTTGTCATTAGTTTTTATTCCATCCACCCCACCCTCCGCCTGGCCTCCTTCCGTGCTCCCAAGCCAGTGAAGTTGCATATCGCTGTAGTTGGGCTTGGACGGGAAAGCTGCTTTAATTAACAACCATTGCTTTCCTTTCATTTTGGGGAAGTTGCTCACCTTTTATAGACGTGAGCAAAATGTCCTTCTTTACATGGTTTCCATGGCTGCATTCCCATGATGTTCAGGAGGGAGAGCAGGATGACCTGCCAGGAGGCTGTGTTACCACTGCTTGAAGGGGCACATCTCTCATCTCAGCTTGAACTCTCTCCCTGTCTCTCTCCTGCTCAGGAATTATGAAGCCCATGATTCAGCAGGACTCCATTGGCGGAAGCATCTGTAGGTCCGAGGAGCAGAATTGTCAGACATCTATGCAGCAGGAAAGGAAAGCTCCTTCTCTGGACCCTGCCCCAGTGTGGGGCCAGGAGAGCTATGCTTCTCTGCAGAGCAAGGGATACGCTGTCTCCCATCAGAAACAGGTGGAGAGCGTGGCTGTGGAGGGACTGCATGCCAGGTGAGGGCATGCTTGTACCATGCTACCAGGCCCTTTGTACCCTTCCAGTGGAGAAAGGGCTCAGGCTCTAGCTAAAAAAACTTCTCAAAAGCAGGAAAAAGTATTTGGTTGCTGGTGGGCCCTGGAGTGAAGATAGCGCCCAGTTTGGACATGGTTGTGTGCTTATGCATGTGAAGATGACATTTGGTGTGTGCTGTTTTATATCTTGAAACTCAAAAGGAGTCTGAACTGACTCTAGGGCAGTTGTTATCAACCTTTATGGACTCAAGGCACCCTCCATAACTTGTGTGAATTGAGTGGTGCTCAATTTCAAACACGAATTTATATATTACGGTGTTTACCTCCTTGCAGAAGGGCTGGGCAGTGAGGGGACAAGCCTGAGCCTGCATGTGTCTACTTAGCTTACCTGTTTGTCTCCTCACTTCTTGCGGCACCCTTCAAAGGATCTAGCAGCACCTCGTGGTATCGTAGCACTCTGGTTGAGAATCACTGCTCCGGGGGCTTCCCCTTTCTGCTTGTGGCCTTGGCCAGGCTCCCAGTGTCCGTTGTAGAGAGGCAGTTACTGCTTCCTGAAGACGGGTGTCAAAAAGGGAGAGTTGGAACTTCTGGCTAACGCTGTCTTTAACATTAATGGTTTGTAGCACCCTGCAGGTCCTCTAATTTGAAATCGCCACGTGACCTGGAACCTGAGTCTACATTCATTTCCTAAGGAAACTGCCTTTGTTTTTATTTTCTGTACAGAATCTGCTTTCTTTGTCGTCTGCTGGTTCTGTCTAGCCTAGCGTTGCAGACCAGAGCTATGGCAGATCCATAAATCTCAGCACTCAAGCAATTCATAGTCTTGTTGCATGATTTAAAGTCAAGAGTGAAGCTGCCTTTATTTACTGTTTTCCTGTGTTCGGGCTGGGGACTGGGGCAGCATGCTAGTCTCACTGCCTGATTGACTTGTTCCTCCTGGTTCCTTTTCAGAAGCGATAGCTCTTACTCTGCTTCGTCTGGAAGGTCAGAGGCTGTGAGCACTCAGCGGGACCTCTTTGAGGAGAGAGGGGAGGAGTACTTAAACACCTTTGAGAAGAAAGCCCAAGCCGACTTTGACAGCTGCCTGTCATCTCAAAGACTAGGCCAAGATCTTTTGTTTCAGCACCAGGAGAAGGTGCAGGATGCTTGTGTTTCTGGGAGCTGCCATGCAAGCTTGAGGTGTTCGCCCCTGGAGTCTGACTTTGTACAAGCTGATAAGAAACCAGAGTATAATGGCTGGGACATCAGCCACCAGCAGAAACCCTCGGAGGCTGCCACAGAGGCAGATGAAGAGGCTTCCAGGGATGAACACTCATTTAGTGCTGACCCCTGGAAGAAAGAAGCGGCTACCAGCAAGCCAACTGTGGAAGAGTCAACAGAGTGGGCTTCTGAAAACAGAAACTCTAGCACTCAGCACCAAGAGCAGATGGGGCGGACACGGCGATCCGGCCCAATTAAAAAGCCAGTCCTGAAAGCCCTCAAGGTTGAGGAGAAAGAGAAGGAGCTGGAGAAGAGTAAGTTGGAAGGAGAAGGTGCCTCATGCCCAGCAAAAGAAAAAGCCCCTGTCTACAAGGTAGAGAACGAGTCAGAAGAGCCAGCAGCCTTGCTAAACCCCACTCATTACCTGCTGGATGACAAAGGTTCTTCCCCAACCAGCATCACCCGGGACACCGAGAAAACTCAGGAGGAAGAGGAGGAGGATGAAGAGGAAGAAAAACCTGAAAGAGCGTGGGAGAATAAGCTGTCCCGAGAGTCTAATGACCTGCCTCCTACTAAACGAAATAACTGGATCTTTATCGATGAGGAGCAAGCCTTTGGTGGGAGAGGCCAAGGCCGTGGGAGAGGCCGGGGCTTCCGAGAGTTCAGCTTCAGGGGCCGCGGCACTGTGGTTGGCAGCAGGGGCGTCTACAACAACCCAAGGAGCAGCCGAGGCCGTGGCCTCCGGGAGTTCAGCCAGCAGGAGGACTTCCCCAGGGGCAAACCCAGGCGCAGGATAGCCAGTGAGACGCACAGTGAGGGGTCCGAGTATGAGGAGCTGCCCAAGCGTCGCCGGCAGAGGGGATCAGAGAACAGCAATGAGGGCTCTGCTCTGGAGAGGGAGGAGAACGACCTGAAGAAGGGAGATTTCAAGGAATCCTGGCGCTCCAACAAAATCTATTCAGACGATCACAACAGTCTTGACCCAAAGATGAGGGCCCCGAGAGCCTTTGGGAGGTCGCTACCCCCAAGACTGAGCAACTCTGGCTACGGGAGAAGAGGTTTTGCATCCAAGGAGCCGTGTCAGTGGCAAGGGAGGAGTGGGGGAGCCGTGTGGCAGGACTACAACCACAGCACTCCATCGGACACTTTTGGGGGCAGGCGGCAGCCTGATCGGGATTATCTCCAGGACTCTTACAAGCACTCAGACGCCTTCCCTGGAAGGGGCTTTGAGGAGACTCCTATTGAGGACAAAAGGCACTTTTTCCAGGAAGATTACACTGCTGACCCAGAGAACATTGAGAACAGGCCGTTCAGGAGGCGGCGCCCCCCGCGGCAGGACAAACCCCCCCGCTTCCGGCGTCTCAGGCAGGAGAGAGAATCTGTGGGTCAGTGGAGCCCCGAGGAAGGGGGAGCCAACCTCCTGCCCAGCCACTGGCCCGGAAGACCCAAGCTGACCACGGCGGAGAAGAACGGCATCTCTGGCCAGAGGTCTCCGGAGCTGTCCTACCAGAACTCATCAGATCATGCCAATGAGGAGTGGGAGACGGCGTCTGAAAGCAGTGACTTCAGCGAGCGGCGGGAGAGGCGTGAAGGGGTGGCCGAGAGCGAAGCGCAGCTGGACGGTGGCCTGGCCGGCAGCACCCTGGGAGAGAAGAGAGAGCTGGCAAAGAGGAGCTTCTCAAGCCAGAGGCCTCTCGTGGACCGGCAGAGCCGTAAGGCAGAGTCCACAGGGTTTGGGGAGCAGTCGATGAGGGCCAGTGGCGGGGCGGCCTCCCACTATGAGAGCAAAAGGTGAGCTCAGGTTCCAGTGGGTAGCATGTCCTTTGTGCGTGCCTGTGTCCCCCGTCAGGCCTATGGGGCAAGCTGGCCTGGCAGATTTGTGGCAAAGTGTTCCTCCCGTCATTCACAGGGGACCCCCAGTGCACCCAGGATGTTCGATGTTTTCCCAGACTTTCATGCCCACGCTAGAGCTCTGCTCGCCTTGGAAATTCAGATTCAGCTCTGTCTCAGGAGGGCTGTTGGGAATACCTGGGGCTGCCCCCTTTCTTCCAGCTGGTTGGAGCTTGCACCACAAAGGTCTATCGTTGCACTTTTGTGTTGTACCTCCAGCTGGCCAGAGGGCAGCAAGGGCATCCTGGTCCCTGACTGCCAACTCCTGGAGTTCATCTGGTCTGGGTGCTGACTCCTGGGAGTTGCAAACAGAGTGGCATGGCAGCGGGGAAAGGTTGGGAGAGATGGGTAACAAGCTGATGGGAATGAAGAGGGGAAATGTCACATTTAAGTCAGTTTCACTACTTTGGAGATTTTAGATCCATAGCAGTGGCCATGGCATGGCTGCTATAGGTGGAGTTGCCAGATCTAGCTACATTTCAGTGGGGTTTTCCTTAAAATCTGGTTATTGCATGATGATAAATGGAAGACAGAGCTCCTTCCAGGAGAGCTCATACAATGGCTATATGGGCCTGGTGTCAGGATTGCTCCTGTGAGAACTGTTATGGGCTATAAGACAAACTGATAGCTAGGGATTAGGATTTTTGCTGCCTCCTTGGATGCCTTTGGTGCTCTGGGAGGCTGGAGTGGCTGGATCATAGGGCTGGGCCTGTTTGGCAGGCCCATTTGTGATCTATTTTTTAGCAGCAGGTTTTGAGTCCAGCCCTCCTTAAAACTGCACTGCATTGGGATTCATGCTTTGAAGTAGACAGATGCTTTGATGCTACCTCATTGTTTCCTCCCCTGATTAATTATAGCAAGCTGCTCCATGGAGGGGGCGAGGGGTTGTGCTGACAGACAGTGAAGAAAAGTGCAATGGGATGTGTGGGGGAAACTTTACCGGGACAGGATGAGGAGTGAGAGAAACACAGGCTTGCCACTACACACTGCTCAGCTTTCTGTAACCAGTTTTTTCTCTTGTTCTGCTCCTCGGCTTCGTGACCCAGTGGCCCATGTTGGTTAATCTCTAGAGCACAGCACATGGCTGAGGCTCAGAGCTCAAAAGAATTGCCCTGAAAAAAATAACTGGGGAAAAGTGATTTTTTTTTTTTTTTGGCTAAATGTGCATCAACCTCTCTGCTCCCCCTTGCCCCCATCAGCCCTTTACCTGACATTTGCTAGAAAACGCGCGTTTTTTGCTAACATATGAGAAAATTGCAAGAGTTAAAGCTTTTTACATGAGGGTGGAGGGTGCTGGAGGCCCAAATATTCAAAGGGGCACATGGGCCTGTAGTTTTCCCTCTGAGACAAACCAGAAAGTTTTCTGTCAGCTACAAGTGATGGTGCCTTTTGTTTCCATTCCACTTCCCACAGTAGCATCCCCCATTAACAAGGTATCTACATGGAAGCAGTGTCTCTAGCATTTGGCTGCAGGGAAGGAAGACTGGGCTTGGTGAAGAGAACCTGACCCATTTCTTTGCCTTTTTATATTTTCCCTCCCTTTGGCCTGCACTTGACTCTCACCCCTTGTCTCCTCGCAGGTCCCCAGAAGAAGGTGGGAGTCTTGGCAATGCCAGCAGCGGGAGCAGCCACTCTGTGTACAGCCTGGAACGAGCTTCGCACGCCAATTCGGACAGCGCTGAGGGCCCAGGTAAAAAGGTGGAGAAAGAGCCCAAGTCCACGGCCCAGAGAGCAAGTGACGAGGGAGAAGCCATGTCACAGTTCGAATTAAATTATGGAAGTAAGTGCTTTGCCTGGTTAGCTTCCCAAAAAGGATGCTACCCAGTTAATTACATGGTTGAGTCCTTTCCTCTGGTGGGGTAACACCCAAGACAGCATAGTCCAAGGCAGTTTTGAATACTAAATTTATACCCTGTGTCACGGGAAGCATTGGAATTGGGGCGATGGTTTTATAACTCTAGTAACGCGGTGTTGTGGTCCGATTCAAGTCAAGAATCTGGTTAGTGGGGGAGGAGCCGAGAACACCTGGCCATCTATACCAGAGGAGCAGTCCGAGTCTGAGTTCCGCCCTAGCCATCTGTAAAGCCCGGTTAAGAGGCCATCAGGGATGGTTAGTGTAGGGGACTAAGTTAACTTCTGTGCAGTGCTTCAGAGACAACAGGTCACATTTGCAAAATGTAGAAGTCTGCTTTGAAAAAGTCTCAGATTTTTTGGAGCTTTTCTCCATTGTTGTGTAACTAAGTATGAGGAGGGATTACTTGGTTAGTCTCTAGTAGTGATAAATATTGGGGCTGCACAGGAAGCCTGATTTCTGGCTCCCTTCCCAAGCTCTGCTTGCCCAGGTCAGTGGAAGTGTGCCCAGTATCTGGGCTGCAGAGGAATGACGCAAAGCACTTGGGGTAATCCAGCTGGTAGGTGTGAGCAGGCTCGCGTAGTTTCACTTTCTGTTGGCCGAGCTATTTCATCACCCAGCTTGGGGGTCCCACTTGAGATACGTTCTTAAAAGATTCTGGTTTTAACTGTAACCCTTGTTCAGATGCCATCATTGACAATCGGGTTTCAAGCACAGCGGAGGAGAACGAAGTGGGTTCTGTGGCAGGCGAAGGCTTCATTGAGGTCCTCACTAAGAAGCAGCGCCGTTTGCTGGAAGAGGAACGTAGGAAGAAAGAACAAGCTGCCCAGGTGAGGAGGGGGAGGCCGAAGCACAGTCTGACCTAGTGCAGAGTCCAGAGTGGGTTTCAGTCAGAGTCTGAGACAGGCACACACCCACAAGCCCACCCACAGCCGAGGCTTGAAAAACACAGCAGTGCCTGTAGTTAAATAACAGCTGACGGTGTATTAGCTCTCGGTGTGATGGGTAGCACTGCTAGGCAGGGGGGCTGGTTTCTCAGTCTCCGTGGCTTTCTGAGAGTTGCCATGGGTGTCAGGGAGGAGAAATCCATATGGCAACTTAAGAAACTTTCTTTTAATTGTAAGGCAACTCACTCTCAAAGCTTGTTGCTACTCTGGTAGTCAGGTGTCCCCTTCCCCAGGTTCAGACCAGGCTGCGGCTCCTTGTGCTTCAGAAAGAATTTCCCAAAGTTGAGGTCCAGGTGGGCAGTTTTGTTTTTTTTTTTTTTTTCCATTTCTCTGCCAGTTTTCACTGTGGCCTGTTGGGCGAACATGATTGTCCCGTGCACACAGCTCTTAAAGCCTGGTGAGCAACCTGGGTTGTAACTAAATGAACTTCACTTTCCTCACTAGAAGTGTTGTATTCCTTTGTTGAGCAGCGAGGGTCTGGTCTGCACTAGGAGGTTCACATCCTTTCAGCGAGTCTCTTGAGTGTCTCTAGTCAGTGCCCTTGCAGCAGCAGCAGAGTTTGTCTGCTGAATGGAGGTGAGGCTTCTGCTCCTGCCCAGAAGAAAACCCAAGTAGACATCCCTGCACTTTCTGCTGGCTGTAGCTGTCGCATCAGCCAGTCGGTGCCTTTCCAAGCTGCTCTCTATGCTCTGCCAGCCCAGCTGCTGCAAGGAGCACGTGCATGTGTATGTGCTCTGGTGGCTGGGTAGTAGCAGCCAGGGTCTCCCACCAGAACTCTTGCTGGCAGTCAGGGAGGTGCAGATGACATCTAAGACTTTACCTAACATGGGGGCTGCAGAAATGCACACCCAGGAGTTTCCAGATAATCTGTAATCAGGATGTTTATTAGGGATTTTAGATATCCCTTTCCACGCTGGTCATGTACTGCTCTGAAACTAAATCACTGACCAAATTGTTTTAGCTCCTGTAACATAGTTTATGAGTAGGGTCTTCTGTCAGTGTAAATGATGTTCCAATAGATCCTTCTGACCCACCCATTACTTTGTACTCAAGCAGTGGGTCTGAGGAAACGGTCTAAACTGATACACTGAAGGGAAGATACCGATACCATCACTGATCCATGTCTCTAATTGTGGAAAATTAAATGGTTCTAGAACAGGAAACAGGCTCAAATGAAACTCCACAGCAACACTAAATCGGGAGGTGGTACCAATGTCAGCAATGGCAGGAAATACAAAGGGGCCTAGAGTTAGTCTGTGCTGCAGGGTTTGACCGTGTGTAAATAGGATTCTGAAGAACAGAGCTCAGTGACCAATTCTAAACATAGCTTGCTGGTTAGCGTGGACCACTGTAAGTTGGACTCGGTGGTTAAATTTTGTGCTGAACTCAATTTGCCCTGGTTCATAAGGGGTTCTAAGTCGTGCTGAACAATATATCCATTAATTTGGCTTGATGACAATGATATGCAGATGTGATAAAATTTATGTAACTTCAGCATGGCCATCATGGGAGTAGAAACAAGTTGCAATGACCATAGCAAAGCTTGGTCTCAAAAACTGATTTATTTGATGGGAGAGAGGTATATTCCAAACCACGACTGAGAAAGAAGGAAGTAATGGTGCAGCTATATAACAAGAGACTTGAGTTTGTAGCTGAACATCCCTTTACAAAGACCTCTATGTTCCCTCTACATTGTGGCTTCTATATGCCCAATATCCTTTCGTAAGACAGCAGCTGATAGCTTCTGCGGTGCAGCTGTTCTTTGAGCATCGTGTCCAGGGCTGGGGACCATGCTGACAACAGACAGATTAACAAACTGGACACAATATTGTGTGGTATGTGTTTGCTCTTTTTTAAAGGGGCTAGAGGGGTTCCTTTGCAAAGAAAGGTTTGGGAGTTAGCAATGGGCAAGCCATCTACATGATGTTTGAGGCTACTAGGGTGACTTAAGTCCAAGTACTTGAAGAGTGTAAATTACTTGGAGGTGGAAGATATTTTAAAGTGTAAGATGGGGACATGTGGAAGAACTAGAACAAAAAACATTGGGAACTGGTTCCTGATGCTGAGATGGCTTAAGCAGCAAGTTATGTCTCCCAAGCCCTGCGACAGAAGCCTTGCTTCTTGGCACATTTAAAATTAGGCTAAAGAAAGCCTGAATAAATGTACCCAGTGGAGCGGCAGTGTAGTTGTGTGAGCTGAACTAATAGCTCCCTTCCCTCTCCAGAGGGTATTAGGGTATGTGAATCGCCTGTCTCCTGATACTGCACAGTATTAAATTGGTCTTTTAGTGTGCCCAGGGCTGGGGGAGGTCTTATACCAAAGTCTGACATAGGGAGGTTGGGTTTTTGCCCATCCCTCCCCTCTGCCGAAGCCAACTGCTCTTTATAAACCTGGCACAGTTCCTCACTGCCCTGCCATGTTGCCCTGACAGGCCACTAGCAATACACAACACTTTGGCAATTTCCCTGTATAAGGTGCTCGAGTCATCCAGGTTGGGGGCTTCCTTCGCCATAGAGACCCCAACAAGGGCACAGCCTCCTTATAAAGGCTCAGGAAGCCAGGAGCCAGACAAAAACTTGCTAACGGCAGGTCCTGTTAACCTAAATCAACAGCAGGTCTCACAGTCGGTGTCTTTCTCTTTCAGGCACCAGCCAAAGGCCGCGTGCTTCAGTCTCGTATCCCTCCTCGATTTGCCAAGAAGCAGAACAGCATGTGCCTAGAGCAAGGCGATGTAGCCGTGTCTGGAAACAGTCTGGGCACCGAAATCTGGGAAAGCAATAGCCCAGGTAAGATGGAGCCTCTGCTGTTGGCCAGCCTTGGGGCATCTCACAGTTTTGAAACTGGAAATCCCTTGGGGTTGGAAGAGGAACGTGTGCAGAGGGGAGTATGTGCACATGTGTCACAGAGTCACCTTTCTTCTACCTGTGGCTGAAACCCCCAGGGAAAGGAAGGTGGCAGATCTCTGTGCTTGTGCCAGTTCACATTTTTGCTGCTAAGATAACCATCCTCTCCCTGCTTTGTTGGTGTCACCCTTCTCTTGAGATCTCTTCCTCAGTTTCCTCACCAGTTCTTGTGTTCAAGGCCCTGTACAGCTACTTCCCATCTATATCCTTATTCTAATTTCTTCCACCTTCTTATCCTTTCTTTTTACGGTTCTGCACTTCCTGCCAAATAGGCTTCTTTGTCCCCATCTCCCACTTCCTCCCTGGCACTGGAAACCCTTCCCCTCCTTCCAGCCTTCACTTCTCCTAGGAAGTCCTTATCTTTTCTGTCCTGTCATGCCCTATTTTCCCTATGGTATGGTGCCATGCCTCAGCCTGTCCTGGAGTGTAAAGTGTAAAACAACAAGTGGCTTTTGGTCAGTTTTGGGGATGGTGGTGGGCATGAGCAGGGTCATGGAAACGACGTGCTCTCGGGGCTCCATCTGAAGCATCTGACTCCCATCTGCTCTTCCAGCTCTCTCAGTTCAGTCACCTGGCAGCGATTCCTGGAGCAAGCCTGTGAATGGGTTTAACAGCGCAGAAACCAGCCCCACTGAGGTAAGGGGCATCTCATCCCCTGTTCAAGTGCTGCGTTAAGTAAAATATTGTTGCAGGTAGCTTGCACTTCCCATTGTGTTGGCCATCCTGTTGGTGCTGCTTGTGTGGTTTTGGCTCTACAGCTTTGGCTTGGTGGCTTTTCAGATGGTAGGCCAAATTCTGCTTGGGATTGCTCTTGGGTGTAAATCTGCAACAGTCCAGCTGCACAAGCCGGCTGCTCCAGAGTTAGACTCCAAACTGGGAGCAGAGGATGGCCCAGTAAGTGGAATTGGATGATTCCTGCTTGTGAGATACGTGTAGCTGTTTCTGTAACAAAGGGCGTGAGGAGGCATCGCTGAATGCTGCAGTGACCTTTTACCTTTGAAGAAGAGTTAAATCTGGTTTGGGTCACAAGTGACATGAGTTTGGCCATCTCAGCCCAGTAGTCAGGTGGAGCTCTCCTCCTAAAGCTGCAGCGGGGTTGGCACTCTGGACAGTCTGCCTCGGGGCTGTCCAGAGCCGGATTAGCAGTGGCCATTGCAGGTCAGGGCGGCCTCCTCAGCCATTATGCTTGGCTAAAAGGGGGCTGTGTTCTCACTGTTGTTTTTTCTCCTTTGTGGAGTTGGGTTTGGATCTGGGGCTTTAACACCTCTCGTGCTTTGCATAGCAGGGTTTTAAAGGCAGCCAGGGGGATAGTGGCATTGACTTGAGCGCAGAGTCTCGGGAATCCTCTGCTACCTCCTCTCAGCGCAGTTCTCCGTATGGCACCCTCAAACCAGAGGAGATGAATGGGGCTGGCCTGGTGGACCCAAAGCCCGACTGCCAGAAGGAGCAAGTGCAGAAGCAATCTGATAAAAAGGTAACCTGGATTTGCAGCCAAGCAAGAGCACGCAGAAACGGGTGCCCCTGGCCTGGGGAAAGGGGCTGCATTGGTGTCTTCATAGCTTTATTAAGATAGAGAATGGGTTATTCAGTCTGTGTGTCTCAGCCTCTCTGCTTTCCCATTAAGGATTCAGATCAAGGCTCAGGACAGAACAAGGAACACAAGCCCGGACCGATCGGCAATGAACGCTCCCTGAAAAACAGAAAGGGTTCGGAAGGGACGGAACGGCTGGAAGGGAATATCCCTCCTGTTAATGGGATGGAAATTCACGTGGATTCTGTTCTTCCTGTGCCATCTATTGAATTTGGAGTAAATCCTAAAGTGAGGATTGAATTTAATTTTATCTTCTTGGTGGTTTCAGCTTGTAGAGAGGAGGAAGGCGATGTAGGCAGGAAGATTAGTCAAGGGAGGCTTCCAGCTTGCGTGCTGTCGAGTTTCTTTATAGGTGTCACTCCTTGACAGACCAGGATGTCTTGGCAGATGCCTGTTATTCTGATGGAAACAGTATGACAAGGAACAAATGGGGTAGCTGCAGGGTGAGCTAGAAGTTAAGGCCCTGTCAGCCCACGTGTGCCACTGGGGGGAAGCCTGTTGCTGATTTATAGGCAAGTTTATTTTGCTGTTGCTCTTCAGTGAAGTTCTGCTGAAGACGGTCTTTAGTCCCTAGCAGCATGGTTCTGGTTAAAGTGCGCTAATTGTGAGCAGGTGACAAGTGGCCCCGGGGTGTGGATTTGAATGGGGTGTGTGACCTTTTTTCAGGACTCTGACTTCAGCCTGCCACCTGGTTCTTCCTCCAGTACAGCAGCTAACCCTGTCGCCAAACTGCACGATGCCTTGGCTAGTAACGTAAGTACATCATTGACCCTGAATTGACCCTTCTGTCCACTATCCCCAGTTAAACCCCAGAGATTGGTTTAAATGCATGTACTTGCAGTTTGCTTGATGCTGAATGTCACGTTACCCAGGTGCTTGACATGGCTCAGAAAACCGGCCATGAAAATGTAGGCACTGTCCTTCAGGGTAACTTGATAACATCAATGGCTTGTTAGCTCAGAGATACCCATGCCTTTGTTAAGAAATGATTTGAGTATCATATCATGCCCTATGTAAAGTAAGAAGCCTTGTCTTGAGGATTACCAGTTTCCTTCTGTCCCCTACCATATAAAAAGACGAAGGAGCCTTGTTGGGAAGTGACTCATGGCTGGATCTCCAAGAGTCCTCTTTTTCACAAGGAGCCATAGGGAGCAGTGGCCTGCCAGCCAAGCAAGCCCAGGTCCTTCCTTAATAAAAATGGGGAGATTGTTAGAACAGTTTGGCCAAAAGAAAATTAAAATGGATTGAAAGCCCAGTACTTTCCTGCAGCCCAGCTGTGTGCTGTGATATTAAAAACATGGCTTCCCCTGAAATAGCACAAACTTCATTTCCTGGAGGTTGGCCTTCCAGGTTCTTTCTTCTTGCAAGTGTTGGCAAATCAAACAGTGTGTCCCAGCAGTTCCCATGGACTTGGCTGGGGTGGGTAGGACAGCTCTCTTCATGTGCAAGTAGTAGTGTAGGTCAGATCTAGCTGTGGGGCAAGTTGATGCAACCCTGGAGTTCAGCAGAGCTGTGCCTGCTTACCTAGGGTTGCCTCTGGCCCAGCATACCTGCATTGCCATAATGTTAAGCTCACTTAACTTCTGTCTCATTCTAAGCAGTCTCCATAATCCACTCAACAAGTCAGGAAGAAGCAAAACAGTTCAGTTCAGATCCTGGGAAGTAGTTGGGCACCTAACTTGTATAGCAGTCAGTGGGAGTCAGGCACCTGCTACCTCTTAGTATTGGGGCCTTTGTACTGGGCTTAGTGAGTTCTTCGTGAGGCGCTTTGCAACTTCAGCATCTCCATAACTTCCTTTGTGGTGAAGAAAGAAGTTTATAAGACATTTAGCTGTCTAAATCTCTCCCTCCAGGCTGGGTTAACGCAGTCCATTCCCATCCTGCGACGAGATCACCATCTCCCGCGGTGCATCGGCCTGAACCCAATGTCCTTCCCCACGGCAGACCTCACTCTGAAGGTAAGCAAGGCTCGCTCTGCTTTGCTCTAGTTCTGAAAACCCCGCCCCACTTCCACCCAAATAGTAAAGGTGGAGAGAAGCTTCACCCACCACCGCCTCAGTGTTTCATTGGGCACTTGCAACATCTTTATTTAGCTCCATTAACAAATGGGCAGCGTATGTATATGTGAATTTAGTTCAGGTGGAAGGGGGGCATTTGGGCAACTCTGGGTGGGAAAGTCCTCCCTAGTCATTAAATAGGGAAAGCAAACTGGGTTGCAGCCCAGCTTAGTAGAGACCAAGTCAAGGAATGGGCAAGAGGACAGTTAATTTTTTTTTTTTTTTTTTTTT